GTGTCTCTCTCCAACATTTTTATCAGGGTGATGTCATCCATTCCCCTGTCTGTCATTTGAGTGACTGTCATAAAAAGCTATCTGTCGGACTGTCTGTATTGTCTATCTGACTGACAACCAGCTAACTCCCCATCTGGTTCATGTCATAGCTTTTATTTTTGAAAGCTTAAGCTGCAAGGTTTAAGAAACTGAATGATGTAGAAAAAAATGTGTGCTCAAAATTGCTTCAGCCCAAAAATATTCAAGTTCACAACCTAGAACAAAATTAAACTGCCAGTGCTTTGTGACATTGCCTCAGACATAAAAAAAGACTTACAGGGATCACATCAGGGTATATATCTGGCCTGAGCAGTGGCATGGCGTTCTGTGCATCTGTCCATCTATCACTTCAGGGTCATCATAAAAGTGCTTGTTGTCTACCTAGATGTCAGTCTGTCATCTCTGGCTCTTTGAGAGCTTTGAGGCAATAGGTTTAGCTCTCACCTACAGAAACCTTTTTACATACTGTGGGTGCTGTACTGTCATCTAAATGCAACAGAGTTTCCGTTACAATCTAAAGAGTTCGGTTTTGTATTCCTATGGCATTGATAGGTAAAATGGGGTTTTACGAGTTCATTATTTGATACTTTACAACTTTAAACAGTCGAAAAGAGTTAATATGTGAAGAAACTGGTCCAAACAGACAAAAGCAAACAAAGGGAAAGCCATATGGAGACATCTAGACTGCAGGAGAAAAGAGGCGTTAAGAGATGAGCAGTGGCTCAGCAGGGTTTCCCGTGCTGGGATTTGAACCTGCTGCTACAGCTTACTGTGATGCCAGTAAGACGTCTAACTGGAAGAATTATGTGCTTATGCAAGACACACGCAGGCTGCTTTAAAAATACTGGACCGCTCTCCCTTTCTGCAGATTTAGGATATGCTTCAGAAAATGTTTCAACATAAAACACTACTGTACTAGGTTTGAAACCAAATGCTAACAGTATGATTAATGTTTTATATATCCATATGACAGTCCTAAATCTTCAGCTACCAACTTCACTGAACACTGGTCAAATGTACTTTAATCACTGCCAAAAAAGAAAGAACAACAAACTGTAAAACTAATTCTCCATCCACTGAATCACGGTCCAAGCTCCAGGGAGTTCACATGAAGTTACCAACCAAAGTCCTTAATAGTTTTGGTGTACCCAAATTGCAGCTTACTCTTAAAACGTTCCACACACAAATTGCTTGCTCCATGACTCATTTTATACCATGTATGTGCCAAACACACAGAATGCAAATAGTTGACATGGAAACACAATAAAGAGGCAAACAGACATTCATATCTGGAGCCCAAATGAAAGAAAAGTTGTATTCTTGTCATTATGTCTAACCATTAGTGATGAGATGATGTTTAAGAAGGCAAAACTGGCATAATTTTGTTAAGGAATCAATTGCCTACTGCAAAAACAACACACAATTTGCAAATGTTTGCATGATTTCATAATATTTGAATTAACTGTTATGGACTGACACACTAGACCTTTTGAACTTGGCAGAGGTTTCTAATTTGCAAAGAAAATAACAATCCCATGTGCTAAGAGTACTACTCACCAGTCAATGCTGTCCAGCTGCTCTTCTTTGTTCCTTAATATTAGTTCACTGCTTAATCTCTCATTCAGATGTTAGCAATGGCAAAACCTTTCTAAAAGTCTTCTCTGCATCTCTCCTCCTCCCTTTGCCTGTCTCTCTATCTCCGTCTGTCTCTATCGAGATATTCCAGACATGTTTCAGGGCTCAGCCAGAGCCAAATATGGGATGAGGGCAGTAAACAAAGACGACGCCTTGCGCTGTCACTGGGCCTGCTGCCCCACTGTACACCTCACACACACTGGTAATGTGTATTCCTTTTTTTGTGGCAAGACACTATGTTTAGTGATTAGTTCCATTTGTTTTAGAAATCAAGGGATCATTATATTCCTAGAACATACGTTGGATCCGCTAACACACAATTCACTATATTACAATATCCGAGTTTAAGTGGTCATTTGCTTGTTGTGCTCAGTACTTTTTCTTTTTGTCAAATTAGAAACTTACAAAACATGCTTTTAATATGCTAAATATGCTGCATGATGCATTTGTAAATAATGCTAAGACCATTTCTATCTCACACCAAATGGCACTGTTAGTGCCACTAGACCAGAACTGGAAAAAAAAGTTCCTTGCATCACTTGAAATGTCTGCTTTAAAACATGTTAGAAGTATTTCTGTCATCCTTGCACACCATCTGCTAGTCTGAAAGATTGAGTGTATGCATTTGAACTGTGGTGGAAGAAGAATAATCATCTTTGATGTTTTATAGCACAAAGCAATCTCAATTCATGCTAGATACCCTGAAAGACCAGATGCTGTCATCATACTAATATCTGATGTTATAATAAGACATACCATGTTTAAACAGCAGCTTTGTTCTTAGCAGTGCAGCAGCTCTATGGCTGCTCAGTGACCCAAACGGTGGCCTTCTGACTATTTTAACCTCTGTGTCGACAGCTGCCACCAGGCTATTAGTGGAGCGAAGGCAAGCTGATAAACACAAGGTGCGCTGCACACACATGTGTTCACAAAGTCCACATAAAAAAAAAACGCAGAAGACCAGAAAAACTTACAAAAAATGTACAAGCATACATAGACCATCATGCAAACAGCTGGACTAATACTCTACCTTTATGAATACACTTCATGTGCCACGCTCAACAACTACATGGGCTCCCCACAAATACTTTAATGATAGCTCAGGATGCCTCTTCTCATGTTCTGCTGAGTGCGTGCATCAGTATGTACATACAACTCTAAGCTGCCTAATCCCACAGGCCCTTTAAAGACACCTGTCTTTCAATGAGCCCTCTTGACTGGAGTTCCAAGGTCGCAGGACTTTTAAAAGTGGCGCCAGGAAGAATAAGTTGAGCCCCAGATGAATTCAGACATCAACATTGAGGATGAAACATTCGTTTAACACCCAGTCAAATAAACAAGTCTGGATTCTTTCAGTGATACCTGATGAGTGACTAGTGTCCACTGTACTGCAGAGTGTAAAAATAGGCCATTCTGTCATGGAGCATATCAGTGTTATTCATGTAGCATCGGTGTGTGTGGTCACCCCATTAACATTCTCAGTGCACGCTAATAATATTTTATGTATGAATTTTTTCCCCCAGTGGTAGTTAATTACTGTTTCCAGGAACAAAATAGACCTCCAAAGTGATTCTTGTTATAAATTACTGTAAATACTTTAAACAGTTCTCCTGCAATTTAATTGAATCTCTTTTTGGCTTCTCATTGTCTCATTGTTGCATCTTCCAGTACTAATATAACCTCCCTGTATGTCCAGTCCATATCAAATGCAGATGCTGTGCTATGGCACTAGCCTCCCCTCAACATCCAGATTGTCACGTCCAAGTGCAAGAGCAAAGGCTGCAATTAGAGAAATGAAGAAACAGGCCGAGAGGTTTTTCCGCTGAGTGCTGAGAACACTGCCATCCATTCAATTAGGATAAAACTTGCAATCTTTGCGGTTCCCACTGACCTTCTTGCAACATAGCAATTACCACAACAGTTCTCGGGGATGTTCATAAAAATGAAATGGATCTTTGCAAAGCTGTAAAAAAAAAATCCCATCTATAAAAGTGGTTGCTGCACCACTATGACTGCCAAGTCCTGACTCAACTGAAGGTGAGTACATCCTCCTATTTGTGCAAATGTCTCAGTGTAACAGCAGTAATCATGTTTCTCATCATCACTGAGAGGATCCAAGGGACTTAGTTACCTTAAGTGGTCAACTATATCTGCACCCTAAAAACTTGAATTTAAAATATTTTATGATGTTATTAATGTTTGATGTTTACTTGATTCCAGAACCTATCTTGTAATCATCTTTGTTGTTCAGTGATCCCCCTTCCATTACTCATTCTGTATATATGCTCTAGTGGACATGTGTATACACATTTATAAAACAGGCAAACTAATATATGCATAGAGGAATAATATTATAATGATGATAACAGCAGAACATAAAGAAGTTAAAGTGATGGCAGAAAAAATGTTGGAGTGTGCCATGACTGTGACATTACAAAAATAATGGATTGCATATATCCAGTAACCAGTAAAACACATTTCAAGATTCAATTAATTTCTTCTAAGAAATTAAATGGAATGTCTCCAAGTTATATTTCTGATCCACTATGCCAAAATGAGCACACTTAGAGTAGGAACTGCAAGAAGTAGGTTTTCTGCAGACCCAAGTATGGATTTGCAGACAGGGGTGATCATGTATCTGCTGTCATGGCACTTGGCACGTTTGACTTTAATGCTCATACTGTATATTCATCAGATTTTTACATTTTACATGGCATGGGTGGCCAGATTTTCTGCACTGCTGCCACAGAAGCAAGGGCAAGCCATCTGATGGAGATGGGTTTGGGCATTTGTGGGACTAGGGACTAGTGGTGTTTCAGGTTACAACCCCCCTGAAGAGGGGACAGCGACTGACGCCCCCTATTTCTGCAGGGGCTATTTAAAGGCCTAATTGGCAGGCTGGGGAAAGATGGTGTGGGGCTTCATGGGCTGCCCTGAGAGAGGAGTAAAGCTGGGTGAGTAGCAGAAGAGCATAAAGATACAGACATGATCTTCTCTTTAGAGTGTGTCAAAGCCACAGATCCTAATGTGTTGTGACACTTTAATTATTGTGTTTTATTGTGAATGTTAATCATGGGTTTGGAAGTTTGGAGCTAACTACAGTGTTCATCTAAACTGGGGGATTTTTGTTTTGTTCATTTGAGAACTAAAATGAACTTTGAATGAATGAGGCTATTATTTTTTTCTTTTCCTATTAATTAGTGTGATATCCCCAAACTAATAAAAATTCATCCTGTAACTAGCGCTGCCTACACATAGATGGGGTAGAGGCCTGCTGAGCCATAGGAACAGGTGATAATGAGCTACTTAATGGCAGGTTAACATACCGTGCTCGTCGTCCACAGTGTCCTCGCAGTGCAGGTTAAAGTTCTCGTATGAGTCCCAGCGGATCAGAGGATCCTGGGTGTTGTAGTCCACAGAAACGCTTGGTCCATTCTCCAAGTGCCCTAGACCTGAGGAGCATATGGCATCATGGGTAACTGAGTCCTCACATAGAGCATAATAACTGTCACATCAAACACGATTGTGCTATTACAAACATGAGAAGCCTCAATTTGGGAAAAGCGATATTTTATTCCTATATAACTGATTGCATAAAGTGAGAAAAATAAGGTGTTCATTACTGTTTCAAGAGCTTTTATGACTGCCAAGATATCAGACCTGATAAAGGAGCATGTTGACTGATAAAAATGGATTTTTACTGTTGTAAAGATTGTGTTTCCCCTTTAAGTGGGTTACCTTTGATTTTTTCTGGTCCATATGAGAAAACAAACTCCACCTTCCCATACTCTGGGAACCTCTCATCTGTACAGAGACATACAGTTTACATTTTTGAAATAGTATATATTGATGTATTTATTTAGTAAAACAACAGACATGGACCCACACAAACACAAACTGTGTGGAGAATAATAGTGAAACACACAAGAAATGCCAAAAAACACAATCACTGATAAGAAGTCTAAGGTTTTTATTTCAGTTAGGGCTCACTGTTTTATGCTTTTACTTGAAGTGAAAAATATATAAAAATAATACAAAAATCTTTTGAAAACAGGATGATAAAAAATATGTTCAGTGTTTTTATGAGTTTGACGGTAAATACTTAACAACTCAAGTTAACCTTCATCAAACTTTGCTGGTCTTCCACGTTTATATTTAATGAATGCTGAGCTGGTTTCACCACCAGAGGACCCTGTTTAATACCAAACTGGGTAATAAAACCCTCTTTCAGCAGAGTGTGGCAATTTTGATGCCACACTAAATAAATAGATACTTTTACACATGTGTCTTTTTCAGATAAAACTGGTAACAATTTTAAAAAATGGTTTCTAGTAAATTTTACTGTTACTCCACACACACACACATTCATAAATGCACAGGCAAACACAGAAAGGCATCTGCTCTTGTGCCAGATATTATGGCTTGAGATCACATTTTGATTAGGCCTGGTCCACACTGCGCTAATGTGAAGCCTCTCTGACATTTGTCTCATTATACTTTATTCTTCTCTCTGATTACAAAATGATACAAGCCACTGTCAAACACACAAACACAGTCCTGCAAAAAAAAAAACCACCCACCCAGAGAGACGTTACCTCTGAAGGTCTCGTCCAATTCGTTCTTCCCGAAAACCACCCCAAGGTCGTGGATGGCACAAGTGTGGAACTGCACCCTAAACACTACGTCTCTTGTTGGGTTTCTGTACCTTTTGTGGTAGCACTTCAGCTATGTTGAATGGGAAAGAGAGAGCTCTGTTGTTGAACACCAGTACGTTAATCAGTGATTAAATTGGTCAAGCAATTTCTCTGGATTCTAAGAGGAAAAAAAAACTAAAAACTAATTACAAGCAATAAATACTCATAAGCTTAAAGGTGAGAGTTTCTATAGTACTTCTATTAAAAAAAGAGAGAAATGAATGAATTTGTTGTTTAAAAGAAGAAGAAATGAGGGCAAAAGAACAAAAAACAGAACAATAAAAGTCAAGGGGATCTAGAAAAGAAAGTTCTTGAATGAAATCATACCAAGATGTCTCCCTTCAGAAGCAGACCGGGTTCAATGGTGATACAGATACTGGTGTTGCTGTCTCCTTGTACATTGCTGTGCGGTAAAAATGACAATTATGATCTGTTAAAATTCCATCACTGGTTAACTCACAGGGTCAGCTTTGCCCTGGATTCAAACACAAACCACAGTGAACTGGAACAAAATGTCCATACTATATTCCTGACGTATAGACTGGTTGCATTGCCTGGTAGATCTTCAGGAAAGGACGGCAGCCTGGGAAGGGAAATATACATGGACACTGAAATATTTCCAAAAACAAAACAAACAAAAAAACCCTGAAAAATCTAAATGCCTCACCTCCTTTGGACTCAAAGTTAGGGATGCCATGCATGATAACATGATGCAGGAAGAGAGGCTTGTTGTTGATTTTTATGTGTCCACACAGAAGGCCGTTGAAGTACTGCACGTACCTGCAGACAAAGGAAAGAGTACAATCAATACTGATTTCAATCTCAAAACTGGTTAAAGCTCTGTCCAATACCACACTATACAGTACTGACTATACAATATGTACTACTGTAGTAGTATTGTTTTAAAATTTTGTAAAAAAAAATAAAAAAATTTACTTCACTGTTAGAACCAACAGGAAATGATACTAGACATGGCAGATGTCAAACTGTGACATCAGACTGTTATATTTAGAAACTTAATAAAAACACATAGAGTCCTTTATGCAGACTCTTACGTTGAATGTCACTGCCTGCATCTCTCTAATACCAACAATAAAACAAAGGCATATAAATGCCCCAGAAGTAATCTATTGCTCTGCTAGAGACCTGCAATGTTGGTGTAATGTTTAACATGTTTTTTTTTTTTTGTTCTTAAAGCCTGATAAGTTAAGGGAATTAAAAAAACAAAACTCGTCAATCTGGAATAAGTAAAGCCAAGTCCATGCTGGCCATTAACATTAGTACTTTCTCTCTTTGGCACCATTATTTGTTTGCTAAATTTCAGGTCAATTTGCCAAATAAATGATAAGTTTATGAATTATGGGTATAAATAAATATTTTGGCCTGGGTGTAGTGCATGGAGACCCAGAATATGCCCAGTAAACATCACAGTAATAAGACATTATACTTTTTTTATTGCATCTGTACAAGCAAGGCTTTTTAGACACACCTTATAATTGAATACATTTTTGATCAAGGGGAAGTTTTCGTCTGATAGTGGAACTAGAAAGAAGGTCACTGCATCACCAAAATCATTAGTCATCCTAGAATCAATGTGAACACCACCACCTAATTTAATGGCAATCAGGTTGATCTTCATGGACACAGAGGGCATTAGACAACTTTTCCTCACACGAGCCCACAGTGAATAAACCCTTATCCTTTGTGGTCACCTATGCTGCCCTTGAGCTCCCACAGCACAACCAGACTCTGACTGTAAAACAGTCTTTATCCACTATGGGAAATGTCAGACTGAACTGTTGTGTACAGAGGCCAGCTGGGGGTCTGTTTAGTTGTTAATGATGATAATGATGATAGTACCAAACCTGACCTTGACCATGGGGTCGACATATGCAGACACCCCCTTGCTCTGCTGTCAGTGGCCAGATGGTTTAGCTTCTCTGAAATTCAATTAGACTGAGCTTGGGCACCATGAAAGCAGCGCTGAGAGGAGGAAGGGCCTTGTAGCTACAGTACCTGTCTAAGTGATACAGTACGAGATGTGATCATTCTGTGTTATAAGAAGCTATGAAATAAAGGTTTTGCATAAATCATTTGATTAATATACTGTAGGCAAGCATTGTGAATGAATAAGGCAACAATGATTGTATATTTTGTGTATTTCAGGCTAGAATGATCTCCAGGTTGTTCTTGTCAGGGCCGCTCGGCGGCCGCTGCCTCTCTTCCTCCTTTCTCTCCTCTGTTCTCTCGACCTGCGGGATTCTGCACCTCAGCTGTGTTGCATTCGTAATTAGCGATTCGTTTGTCGTGCACACATCTGGGGTGCATCCCGCTGATTGACTTCCTCCTTATTTATACCTCTGACAGATGCTCCACCGTTGCCGGAGCATTATTCAAAGTACGTGACAAATGTTATGTTAAAACCGCGTAAATATATGTGTGTGAGAATGCTACGCTGACAGTAACTGTACGTTTTGGCTTGACCTTATCACGTTATTTATGCGTTTTGCAAAACGGTTTTTGTTTTGCTACCTTTTTTCACTTGTCCGTCCTCATCCTCCTGCTCTCCTGGTTGCTGCCTTCTGTTTATCTACTCACTTGCTCGTCCTGGTCTTCTCAATCCCTCTCTACCCTGCCTGGACTGTATAAGCACTTGGACTATATTACGTTGTTTATTTGTTACTTTGTATTTTTCACTGTTACACCACCTGTTTTCACTATCACCTGGGTCTGCACTCTTGAGTCCAACCACAGTTCTCCCTCACCCTTCTGGTGAGGGGGACGCTACCATAACAGTTCTACTAAATTCAAATGAGGTTCTATCAATCAAATGCTGGTTTTAAGGATAATCACTTTATTCGGCCAAGTATGTTACACGCACAAGGAATTTGTTTCTGGTACAGAACCAAGGCAGCCAGTTCACACCAATGGCTCTAACCATTGGGGGCAACTTGGGGGTTCAGTGTCTTGCCCAAGGACACTTCAACATGTGAACTGTGGGCACCCCTCCGGTTGGGAGATGACCGCTCTACCCACTGAGCCACAGTCGCCCCTACCTAACTACTCTTCTAGACTTTGGGCAACTTTGTCATGTCTCATATTCTTATGGGGTGACACTATTTAACCCACTGTCAGCCAGTCCTTTCAGCAGAGGTTCAATTGGGTTACTGTAGTATACTACCAACTCACAACAGGTAATCATTAAATACTGCAATGCTATACAAGCCGCCATAGCAGCAGCAGATTGAGCCCATATCTGTGTCTTTATGTTAATGTCACACATTCCAGACCATAATATTGGCAGACTCCAGGGGCAGAGATAATTATATCCAAAGCAGGAAATAGCAACAGGGCAGAGGGCAAGCCTATAGACCTGTTAGAGAACAGCTGGCTGCCCAATTCACTCACTGAAATGAAGCGATGTCAGGTTCCCTGGTGTCTCCTGCATTTCTTCGTTTATTCCCTTTAACCTCTTCCCTGCTTCTTTTCAAGAAGCTCAGATCAAGAATCCTGACTCCACAGGTGAAGAAAGACTGTGAGGGAGTCAAGCTTTAAGCAGTTGCCCATCTGATGCAGAGGGAGCTAATAATATGGAAGAAGCAGGTTTATAACTTAAAGAATAGTGGCTCAGAAGACAGTCCCCCTTGAGTGAGCTGCATTCAAAATAATAAATTGTTTAAATATCTTAAAACCATTCTTGATTAGTTGCTCTGCTTTGGGAATTACTCTGCTGTTTTGCCTTCTATTCATGGAAAATATATTATCTCAAAATATTTAATGCTAAAAGTGGAGAAGCAGTGGAGGAAAATATGATTTAATATGCTTAAAAGACAGGAAGGTGCTGCTACCAAGCCCTGCAGCATCCCCAGACATACAATGGAATCCATTAGACAGACAAGATACATCACTTCTCTCCATGCTGTGATATTTATGCACACTTATCCCGATTACAAATAAATTAGAGATAAACAGGAGCAAAAAGGAAAGAATTTCCTCTGTAAAATGTTTCTAAAACAAAATGGGAGCGCTAGCTGGGTCACAACACATCCAACCATTACCTAAACCCTAGTGGCTGTCCAATCGTAGCTTAGTAACCATAATTAGGCAGGGAGGCCTCATGTTCAGGCCATGTGTGTGAGGCCGTAGTAAGAGAGATGCTCTGTATGTCAACAGTTTGATTTTTCTTTCTTTTTACCTTCTGCAAAACTAAATAGGCAAGAGCAAAAGTATAATGAGTACTAGCTGTCTGCTCTAGAGTATGGATTACTACCAACAACAGGAGCCTTACTACACTTCCAAGGCCAAGGAGCATTTCAGGTTACATTATTAAAGGACAGTTTATAGTGAGTAATCTACTTCTGGGTGCCCCAGAAACAAAACATATACTGTATATAATGTTACTTATTTTGCTCTTTATGTTTTGAAGAAGGCATGTTAGTGCAGAAAATATTCAGCTTATGGAATAAAGTGAGGCAAAAATGCTCCTGCCCCTTCGTAAATGTTTTTTCTTGTTTGCTCTCTATAGGTACTGAGATGTCTTGTGCAGTGAGCACACCAGCCTGCATTTGCAGGTATAGTATAGTAAACAGTGTCACACTCAAAGCTTCAAGCAGAGGTCAGCAAACAGGAAGACAGGTAGTAACTAACCTTCTCTGTGATGGCTGACCTACAGGAAGTGCTTTGTCCTCGTAGAAGCGCCTCATGGCAAACCTGTCCAATGCCTGGTCAGCACTGCATGACACAAAACCAGACAGGCATTGTTGCAGCTTGTTATTTCTTTAACTTACAGTACATATCAGGGTAGACAGAAATATCCCCTGGCCTTCATCATTTAGCTTTAAATCCTCTGGGCTGTTCCACTTATAAACATCTGGTTTTATTATAGAATTGTGACATTTTTGGAGTGTTTCTCAAGACAGCTAGAAAAAACCCCAGCCAGGATGGAGTGTTTTGCAACAATAATCACATCAGTGTTTAATTTAAAAGGCGGCTTAAATCCCAGACCTTGAAGACCAACTGTTTTGGATTGGCACTACAGTACTTACAAAACCTTGTAAAAAGAGGATTTAAGGTAGCTAAATTCAATTTTTTTAATACTGACAGCTAAAAATCTTCACCTTTGTTGACTGATCTCTTCATTTAGGTGTTTTACAGATAATGACAATGTAGTTGCTGCTTCTTATCATGACATGTTTGATACCTTGCAGATATGTTGCTGTAGTGCATGTAGGCAGCCACCACCACACCGGTTCGACCTCGGTTCCCCTGTGACACAGAAGCAGAAAGACAAAAGAAATATTTCTAAGTAACATGATTTAAAGGTTAAATGTGAATGATTCACAGGAGTATTTGATAAAGGAATTTCCAAGAGATCAAGGATTTCTGTCATAAACATAGAGAACCAATAACAAATAAATCAGGAACAAATAAATCCTCAGAAGTTATACATAAATGCACAGATTACATTTGAAAACCCAAAAGCTGTAAGTATTTCAAAAGTAAAACAGGAAAGCTGGAAAATGTTTTCCTCTTTGTCTTATCTTCATCTGGACAGCATGTGCAAATGCTTGTTTAGACTGATTGTATAACCATAAGATGAATGACTACAAGAATTTATATTGTTTTAATGAGATCAACAGCCAAATACCATATGAAATATATAAACAACAGGCAGTAGTTCTTTCACAATAACAGACTGGTTTTCTTTCACATTCTGATCAGCTGTGTATTGGTCATTACTGTTATACCTTGTTGTGTAGTACAACCACATTGTGTGGGTCTCCACTGAGCCATGTGTCGATGGCCTTGCACATGCTGCAGATTTTGTCCAGTGCAGGTGCATGGTGGTCTGGCCAGCTAAACTCCAGAACCTGGGGAGGATCATTCAGACCAAAAGTTTGTATTTTTCATCTTTGTGGTTTCTTTTCTCTTAAATACGAGGGCACCTAACAGATGCGCCTGGTTCCAAAACAATAAAATGATCTAGCTGCTGAGGCTGCTGTACCTTGTGATTTAATTTTGATAAGTCATTCCTCCGCTCGCTCAGGTTGAGCATCTGAAATCAGAAAAAGTAAATAGTTTTCTGAAAACTTAAAAAAATAACAGAACACAGCTTTTTCAGTTCAAAGTTGTGTAAACAGGAAACAAAAAATGAGATATGAAGTCCAGTGTCTTGGATTCAGTGGGGAGTATCTCACCAGATAGTGTTCGCCATGTTTGGACCGCAGCATCGTCGCCACCTCCTTGAGGTTGGCGGTGTAGCTGTGCTCCTCGGCGCTGGAGGGGAAAGAGACAGAGATGATCCTCTCCGTGATGTAGACCAGGTCCACCTCATAGCCCTCCTCCATGGCCTGAACCACACTCTGACTTCTAGAGAGGCAGAAGAAGCAAGAAGGTGTTCATCAAGTGCTTTTCTATCTCAGTGGGTGGGTGGGTTCATGGTCAAACTTAACATTTCTGAGCTTGACAGCAGAGGTTCAAATGTTGTGTTGGTGAACCCCTACCCTGCTCCTCTTGACCCTGATATCTGGGTCCTGATTTCCCATAGGATTGATTTGTAAAAGCTAGGTGTTATACTGCCAACAACACTTTGCTGTTCCAAAAATAAAGCCTCTTTGCATTTATTTTGAAATCATTTGGTGTCTATATAAAATAAAACAGTAACTCACTCAAATTACTGAAATCAGTCAGCTAGCTTTAAGGTGGTGTAAAGACTTGATAATTATGGACTGACTTATCCAAGTATGCACTTATTTGATGATTTGCAGGTCAAAAGGCAAACTTAACTGAAACGTGAGTTCAGAAAATTTTAGGACATCTTTTTAAATGACCATATTTAAATATGTACCAGGTCCTAACCAAACATAAAGTACAGTTCTTTACATGCTGTTGAAAGAGCATGAGCATAGCCTCCTAGATGTCTTCCACTCAACAGGATCAGTACAGGACAACTGTGGAGAGTGAAAGCTTTGACTGTTTTACCTTTTAAACACAGAAGTCACCCCAGTTTAACTGAACATACAGTACAGTAAGAGTCACGATCACTAGCTTTATATGTAACTGAATTTTCTGTGATTATTACCATTGCCAACACTGCTGCCAAGCTCTTTTTAACAGTTGTTTTGAGTACACTTCTAAAACCACAGTATCTGATCAGGGACTAGCAACAGAGTTCACTGCAAACATCGACCTGATCAAATGTAAACTCCTGAAGCTCGCGCTTATATATTTCCTGGAACGGAAGAGATTTAGAGCCCTTTGCTTGCTGTTGACATGACCTCTGTTGTTATTATTCAGCCTATTATACTGTCCAAACAGCAGTCACATTTATTGGCCAGTGAGCATTCTGTAAAGCTACGCATGAGAAACAGCCATGTATGAAGAATAATAGTCAACAGAGTTTGGAATGAAATTTTACATTCCTAGAAAAAAATCTCAAACATCCAGCATAAAAAACTGCTCTTTGATGTCCAATGAAAAATAAAATCAAGTTGGAGATCCCAGTGGAGCTAAGGGACTTACTTCTTAAGAAAGGTAGCAAAGTGCATTTCATTTTTGTCCCAACAGTCATTTAGTAACCACAGAAGTAACACTTCTTTGCCTTTGTTTTTATATGTTATGGAATCAAAAGAAAATTTAAAACTGAACAAAAATGATCCCTAGAACATTTTCTCTCATGCTGGTTATGCTAATGAAGTGTGTAGTGGATGCAACATGAATGTCTGACAACACTGTCTTACCGTGATTGTTTTCGCCTTATCTCCACACTCTTGCAGGACCTTGTAGATCCCTGTAAAGCGCACGTGTACACACACACGCACATATGCAGAGGGTGAGGGTGAGGGAGAGCGATTCATACATGTAAGCATACTGGTAATGATGATGATGTTACTGAATTACAATCTGACATAACATATTAGGGAAAAGTCACATCACAGAAGCAGAACCGAAACCATTCTGGAAAAAGAGAAAGACAGAGAGGAAAAAGAGGAAGAGAAAGATAAAAAGCAGCAGAGAAGGTGAATAATAAAAAGTATAGGAAGTCACAGAAGGGAAGGGGGAGTGATAAGTATGAGTAAAACAAACAAAATAAAAAGCAAAAAGTGTAGAAATCCAAAGAAAATGTAGGTGATGAAGAAGATAAGTAAAAGAAAAAAGGAATACATACAAATTTGAATGGATGGTGAAACAGGAGAAGACAAGGAAAGAAGAACAAGAGAAATAGGGGATTAAAAAGAAGATGAAAGGGACATAATGACAAAATGTCAACTACAATGGATTTTCTGTAGAAGCAGAATAAGAGGCAACAGAAGAAATAGAGGATGTAAGTAAAAAAAAAGAAGGAGAACAAACTAAGGAAAGGAAAAAGGAAAGGTTGAAGGGTGAGGAAGAGAAAAGGAAATCTCAATACATAGTGTGTTAGAGAAGAAATCCATGAAGCATTACAAAAAGATAGGGCAGTTGAATTTATCTTTACAAACATCCTGTGAAAACCTTTGCTTTTGCCCACAATGTCATTAAGAGCAAGCGTCAGCTTCACTGGTCACGTGGGTGAGCAAGAAGGGCCTCTAGTGAGGTTAAACACACAGCCCAGTGCTATCCACTGAAGGGCTTCACAAACGAAGCTGATCCCACCCCTAAGAGCCACAACGGGAAGCACAACTCTCAGTGATTTGACAGGAACCAGATGTTAGGCAGGCCACAGATACGAGGTTTTGGAAAATGAAATGACCTGTTCACAGGGGTGTTACACTGGTGGTACATTTGACATCGCAGGAACAATTTGTTGTCTTGTAGCGACACAGGTGCATGACGCAGTCAGTGCAGCATGTAAAGTGCATTTAAATGCAATTTGAAAATTAAAAAGGCCAGTTTCACAGTTGAAGGCTAACAATGCCAATCATTTCCTCTACAGTCAAAAAAGCAAAAAAGTAGCAATTTTAGAAATACATTTAATAAAAAAAGAAAAAAGGTCTGCTAAGGAAGACCATGTCATTTGATTGAAAGCTTGTAATAGAGTTTTGTCAACTAAAAATCACAAATTTTAAACAAGAGATAACACATTTAAAATTTCACTGTGAAAAAGTACAACCTAAAGATAGGTCAGTCCAATCTGTGTTGGACTGACCTATCTTGCTGAACAAGAAATCCAGTGCTCAACCTCCAGGGTGAACACAAGTGGGTAAAATGCCTATGAATGGATCTGCCCAGTGGCATGTTTTAGCAAATTACTACTTCTATATGTTTAACTAATTCAATTTTTGAAAAAAGCAACAACTCACTAGTTTGCCAGTTTAGGCTTATATATTCCAGGCAAAATTTAGGATTGCATATTCATTGTTATAATTCTCAGAGCATCATCTGTGAGCACAACTGCAACCATCATGTGTGACAATAAAATGCTCCTGTTCAGTCCTCATGATAGAAAAGACATACAATTCTGTGCTGTATGCTATAAATGAACAGCATGTTTCCGCTGGTCTGCTGCACGTACAGTATACAGTATTTGACCTTAATTATCCACAGTATGAAACAACAGATTAAAAAGCATACATATTTCTCTCTTCTATCTTTTTATCTTCCTTTTGGTTTAAGCAGCAAAACGGTTAGTCTGTACAACTGTTGATAGTGGATGTAATCATTTATTTTCTTTGTACTGTATTCTTTGTATGCAGTCATACAAATTGATTTTTTGTCTGACAACATTAGTTTTGACTTGCAGTGTCTGGAGCTTACATGCTTGGCATGTATCTACTCCTTCTCTGTCCTCTTCTGAGCCAGACATTAATTTAAAAAATCCCCACAGTACATTGGATGACCCCGAACAAGCTTGACTCAATTATGGTCACAATGGGATGTGTCAACTCAAAACCACCATGGATGCACTGCATCCCATAAGAACTAACCAAATAAACATTCCATAAGACACCATCTTACCCCATCAACCTACTCATCTCCCTCACATTTCCTGTTAGTGTGAAGGTGGAAAAAGAATTAATCTCCACACAAGCTGGTGTACACAGGAAAATCTGTGTTTATAATCTGAATCTGAGTCACCGCTGACTTCCACTGCTGATATAAATATTCAGGCAACAACTGACGCAAACACTGACTCATGTCTGTGACTCACAAAAGAGAGATGAGAAAAAACATGCTTCTGGTTTCATGAAAAGGAATATGAGTGCTGTTTATAATCTAAAAATATTTTACAGAAGCTAAGAAAGTTTTTCCTTTGTGACTTCTTTTTACTTTTTGCATCAGTAGTGGCTCTGTCCTCTGTGTTTTTTTTTTTTTTTTTTGAGTGTTTCCATTGCGTGACTGAACACGCCCCCAGCATGAGCCACACACGAGATGTTACGCTCTGCCCACACCCTGCATGGTTTAGCCATGTCAAGCTAAACATGCATACTTAGTTTTGAGCCAGATCTTGGCAGCAGCTTCTGGCACAGATGCAGTACATATTTGCAGTGAACTAGCAGTAACAGATGTCACAGCAGTTTTTCTCATTTTGAAAGGTATGTACCAAATATTTCTTCAGACTGGCACAAAACAGAGAACGCACTCTTTTAGCTCAGGGCATCTGGTTGCATGTAGCCTGGAATAAGTGGAGACTTTTATTTAATTATAGTTAATTAATAAAGCAATACAATCAACAAATTACTTATTCATGCATGAAAAAAGCATTTAATTATTAAATAAAGTCCCTTAATCTGTTCTTTAATAACACGGATGTGCATCAGCTCTGATTGGCTAGCTGTTGTGTATTACCTTGCAAGCACAGGCTAAATCTGACTTTAGAATCATAGCTTTAATTATTAATTTAATTACTGAATAGCTAATTACGCATTAAGTAAATTGAATACTGACGAAGCCCATCTAAACTGCACAAACAGCATGGGTTGCAAGTTGACATACAGTAAGAATAGGCTGCTATGGTGAAACAAGAAAACCAGTTTTGTGGATTTCAGTTTGTACATGGGAGTGTTTTTATGTTAAAAAAGTCCCTTCCCAAGCTGTTTCCACAAATCTGAAAACTCAGAATTCTCTAAAATATCACTGTCTGCTGTAGCAGTAAGATTTACCTTAACTCAAACTAAGGGATTTTGTGCCAATCCATGAAAAACAGCCCAGACTACAACAACAGCATTTGTGAATGAACAGCTTTTAAAGCATGCGTCCTTGGCATTGTTACTTGTAAAGTAGACATGCTACTTACCGGTGTATCTACATGCTTTAATGGCAACTGAGGAGTGGGAGGCTGGAGAGAGAAGTGAGAGCCAACGAGTTAGTTATTGTTTCTTTCACGCCAAGGAAGAAACAACATGGCAAGCAAAAGGATGAGAAAGAGAAAAGAGAGAGAGAGAGAGAGTACTTCTGTTTATAGACCTTTCTATTCTTTCCTGTCTAGGTGATGGTGATACACCAGGCACTATGATTCATTATATTAACCTTGAGAAAAACACTGTGCCACTTTGTTACACATCCTATGAAGATGCCTCATGGAATGAGATTTGAAAACATTCTAAAACTTAAATAAATACATTAGGGGAAAAAACTGACCAATGTCATGTAATGGTTTTAAACAAAGGAAGAGGACTGAGACATACAATATAAGGAAAGGCTCTAAATTAAAGTACCTTTAAGCACGACTGTCACTGTTTGGCTTGATGGTAAATGTTTAAACTTGAATGTATCATTTGTTAAGACACAAAAACAAAATATAATATAAAGGTATCTGGTAAAAAAGTGGTGCTGTACATGTGTCTTTCTAGTAAAGGAGAGAGCAACAGACAGAAGATTTTAATGATTATAATTTTTTTTCTTGTTTTCTTGCTAGTTTAATTGTGCTTTCTGGAAAAAAAAACTTGACATACAAGCACATAAATTGGTTTAAAATAACCCCTCTCTCTCTCTGAAATTGTGTTGCTGAAAGAAAGAAAGTAAGTGAGAACACAAAAGAAAGGATGTGACACATGAATATACCCACAGCCTGACACTGATCCATGTGTTAAGGAAAATCTCTTAACTGAACTAAGTACAGTGTCTCAGACTGACGTGAGCTCTATAAACAAAACCAGGGACTGTTTAACAAATGGCAACAGTTATTTAAAAAGGCCAGCATCCAAAGTAAATAAGTGAAAAGCTGCACAGCTTGGAACATTCCTATTTTGGTCATATCACTGGTGGTTAATCTTGAAAATATAAAACTAAACTGATGGCACCACTGTTTATTTGACTACAGAAAACTGACTAGAAATCAGAAGAATGATCAAATTGCTATTTCTGCTGGTTTTCTAATCACCATCCACAATTTGCTGAGCACGCACTTTCTATGAAAGTAAATGAATTTGGTTCCATTTCAAGCTCATTAAAGTGAAAATGACTCAAGCCACAGTGTCGCAGTGAATAAATCACTGTTCAAGGGAAATTAGTGCTTTGACTGCAGCTCAGTATATGTCCTCTTACACTGAGGGCAGCATTTAAAAAGCATCTTGAAAGTGTTCAGACCCAATCAGTGATTGGCCAGACTGTAGATCATTTTCAACATGTGGCTAAATTTGGTGTCTTGTTTGAGTTGTACAGACAGGATTTTCCTTTGAGGAAAGGGAGGAAACTCTTATTGACCTCTGACCTCCAGCGACAACCTCACATTTCTCTATGTGTGGCTCTTCCACAATGCCAGGAAGGCTTATAGCATTATAAAGAGGATTTCAGAGGTCAACAAGATCTTTAAACATTTCCTTGATGGTCTCATTTGTGCACAAAATCACACACATACAGCACGACAGAGACACATTACACTCACCAGCTCATAGTTGGTAGCTGTCTGACATGATGTAGTGACCTGCAGAAGAAGAAACAAATAGGATGAGAGAAGAAATGTATTCTTACCTACATAAGACTGTTAATATACTGTATGTGATTTGACCTTTAACTGGAACACATAAAAAATAAATGTGGAGAAGTGAAAAGAGGTACAATTCAACAAAATGACTTATGACTAAAGAGTAAAAAATGACCACACAGTGGAGGCTCTGAACAGTTCTTTCAGAACAAGACTGCTACATCCCCAGTGCAAGAAGGAGCGTTACCGTAGGTTGTTCCTCCCCACAAGCAATCAGGCTGTACAATACATCAATGCAGTGATAAGCTAGGTGAAAGTATGAGGGACTATGCAATGGTAAACATTGCAATACTCAAATCCTGGGGTAAAATGCATGGTTAATATGTACATATGCAAATTTTGTTCTTGATTTTTCTCTTGAATAATTAATGCAGTCTTAAAATCTGGAATTTATTTATCAAGATATGTGTGTGGTGATTGTTTCTCATGGTGTTATGTTGTTTGTTCTCTATTGCTGCTTAAACTGAAATTCCCCCATTGAGGGATCAATAAAGTTCCTACCTACCTACCTAAAGGAGACAAACTAGTAGCAACTTCTTATTTCTAAAGTATTTTAGGACTGTGTTTTAAAGCACTACTGTATTTTTGTTAAGAGTTTATTCAGAATACTTGAGTGTTCCCCAAATTGCTCTCAACAGTACAGAAACAACTACAGCTTAGAAAAAAAAGGACAAGGTTTTTGATTGTTTATCTGCATGGGAAACATGGTAGGCCCATTCCATACAAAATCACATTAGGGATCAAATTACACAGACAGAAAATGTTTCCTGTAAAAGCCTGAAAACAATATTTAACTATGAACTATGGTAAACATTACACAGCAGCTTTATTTGTCATGATTCTGTTCCGCCTGTTTCCGGTTGCATGCTTTTGTTTTGGCATAACTTCCTGTTTAGCCATAGCTCAGTTACAGGCTTTTTACTTCAATCAGTACTCCATTATTTTCACCCCGATATAAGCAGCTTTCCCTCCACCGGAAAGCTGCCAGATTGTCCTAGGCCCCAGCTTTGATTTTCCAGCGATTATTCTTGTGCATGACTCTCTTGTTCTGACCCCGGGTTGCTTTTGACCACCGTTCTTTGCCTTATCCCCCCCTTATTCTGTTAGCCTGCTGTGTACCAACCCTCGGATATCTCTAGTGATGTCCAATTGACACCATGACACCTGTATCGAACCACTTCATCATTTGTATTCGAGTATTGGTTCATTCATTCAAAGGTTCGGTTTAGTGCCATCTGGTGGTGAAATAGTATGCAGCAGAACAATGAATTATGTGATGGATGTGAAAACGTTTGTAAAGATTGATCGGTCAGTCGGTCGAGTCTATGAGCTTATGTAGTGTAGTAGGTGGGAGAAGGCGTGCTTGGGGAATCAGAGGATGTGCTAGGATGTAATATGTGTGTATGTAACTAGGACAGGGTGTGAATAAATACAAGGGATGAAGAATCAATAATTTTTACTCCTAGCTGGCTCCATGGTGATCACACACCAGCAGCAATGATCATACCGACAGCAACTACGCACGCACCTACTACGCCAACAAACCCACATGTTGCACATCATCTTGGGTGGCTTTATAATACCCTACGCCTATGCACCTGCTGACATGCGCAGTGAGATCTCACGTTGTCATCATATCAATGGTCTGAACCGGTCACAGGAGTCACTCAGGCCAGCCATTTCTGTGTCGGACGTCATCAGTCACGTGTCTTTTCGGCAACGATACAACCCTCTACGCAGTGTTTCAGGGGAGATCCCTCTCTCGGCTTGACTCATTTATCAAGGCCTCGGTGTCAGATGGCCATCACTAGATATCTCCTCTCTGACCTGGCGATTGTGGACCCCTCGGATGTGTGTGTTTGCCAGCGTTGACCTTGGATTGTAGTAGTGACCTCATTTGGATTCTGGACTTTTGTTCCGTTTGTTTTGTGTTGCTAGTAAAGAATCTATACTTTACCTGTGTTCGTCTGGCGTTATAATTGAGTTCACCCTCGACATCATCGACAGCTTTACACGCCGACCCTGACAGTACAATCTGGCCAACATGAACTCAGCCAGAGAGCAGGACCAAGACTGGCGGGCCCATATGGAACAAGCCCTAACTATCCAGGGGGCTGCCCTTGGCCAGAGTCGGACCGAACTGCACTGTCTGACTCACGAGGAGGCTGGCAGCACCGAGGACTGGGGGACTGTGACCAAGGGGACTGGAACCACTCATGGACCTGGTCACTCGACTTGACGAGAGACACTGGGAGTGCCAGTCTGAACACCACCGGGGATCATCGTACGCTAGTGCTGGCACCTCATCGGACCCTTTGGAGCCTATGCAGCTTGGGGGATCCAGACTAACCCCAAAGGAATGGGAGTGCAGGTTTATACAAAACCTTTTGTTTATATTGTGGTGGTTCAGGACACCGGGCAATCTCGCGTCCATTAAAAGAACAAGGCTCAGTGTGAACGGGAGGGCGCTGCTGAGCCTAATATGACAGGGATAACCTCCCCTCGCCCGATTGTACAGGCGGTTCTTTCTGTTGGTACACATGATGTTAAGGTGCCAGTATTCATTGATTCCGGGTCTGACGCTAGTTTCATGGACCTGTCATTTATTCAGAGATATGAGATACCCCTCTGTACTGTAGATCCTGCCCTCATGGTTCATTCACTCAACAAGTTTTTGCACCGTGTCACATCACAGTCTGTGTCACTCACTCTGACCATTGATAACCATGTTGAAATGATACAGTTTCTGGTCATGTGGTCACCACATCATTTGGTGGTGTTAGGGTATCCCTGGCTGGTAAAACATGGGGGACAGGGTGAGTGGTGGAGTGGCCAGCACAATGTGCGAAAACTTGTCTGCAGTTCAACAACTGATTGAGAATGCAGAGACATTAGATGTAATACCAGATCTGGACAAAGTGCCGTCTGAACATTATGAATTACGTCAAGTGTTTAACAAGACCTGTGCCACTTCTCTGCCTACACATAGACCTTATGAGTGTGCTATTGACTTGTTGCCAGGTACTATGCCCCCTAGGGGTTGTCTGTTTTCTTTATCTGTCCCTGAGCAAAAAGCCATGACAGACTATATTACTGAGGCTCAGAGGGCGGGATTGATTCATCCCTCCTCCTCCCCGGCTGGGGTGGGGTTTTTCTTTGTAGGGAAGGTCTTGGACCCTGCTTTGACTATTGAGGATTAAACAAGATTACTGTTAAGAACAGATATCCCTTGCCACTCATGTCTTCTGCTTTTGAACTACTCCATGACGCACAAGTGTTCACCAAACTGGATTTAAGAAACGCCTATCATCTGGTGTGCCTAAAAGAGGGCGATGAGTGGAAGACTGCTTTTAACACCCCCTCTGGACACTATGAGTATCTGGTCATGCCGTTCGGCCTCATGAATGCACCAGCGGTCTTTCAGAATCTTATCAATGAGGTGCTGGGTTGTCAGGATCGACACGTGAAGCTGCTGAAAATGTTGTGGTGAACTCAATTAAATGGCCAGATGAGGATGTGTGAAACAAAATCATCTCTTTATTAAGAGTACTAATGCTGAACAGAAAAACAAGACAAGACATGGTGTAACACACAACGCACTTATGGGTTGAGAATACAGTCCGTGGTCAGAGCCAGCAAACACATACATCCAAGGGAATCCAAAGTTCATAGACCAAAGGGGAAGTCCGATAATTCATACACAGGGCAGCAGTCCGACACAAGAGGGCAAGGCAGAACAGAATTATCAAAGTAAACGTTCCAGGTCAAAACACAAAATATCAAAACCAAGAACCGCTGGACAGTCAGAGCTGGAGTCTAGAACAATCTGGCAGGGGAATGGTGGGGGAAGGCTGCTTATAATGCGGTGAAAACAGGTGTAAACAATAAGGAGCAGGTGAAACAAATGTGGGCGATGATGAAAGTAAAAAGACCAAAACTGTGGTGAAGCAAAATGGGAAGTAATGTCAAAATAAAAGCACGACAGGAAGCAAGAAACCGAATCATGACACTGGGTGACATGCTGAACAAGTTTGTTTGTATATTTAGATGACATTCTCATTTTTTTCATCTTCTGCATCCAAGCATGTTGCTCATGTTCCTGGGGTTTGTGATTTCCACAGGTCACATCCAGATGGATCCTGCTAAGGTCCAAGCAGTAGCAGCATGGCCCACACCTACCTCCCGTCAGCAAGCACAACGATTTCTGGGGTTTGCCAACTTGTACAGGAAGCTCATCAGGAACTACAGTTCCATTGCTGCTCCCCTCCACAGAGTCACCTCCATCATGAAACAGTTTGCTTGGGATTCATCGGCTGACAAGGCTTTTTCGGTCCTCAAGCAGCATTTCTGTTCCGCCCCTATCCTCACCCTGCCTGACCCAGAGATGCAGTTTGTCATGGAGGCCGACGCCTCAGACTCTGAGGTAGGGGCGGTGGTGTCCCAGAACTCTGCTCAGGATGGGAAATTGCACCCCTGTGCCTTTTTTTCTAAGCGCCTCACCCAGGCCAAGAGCAACTACAGTATCGGAGAGAGAGAGAGAACTGCTAGCTGTGAAATTGGCTCTGGAAGAATAGAGGCACTGTTTGGAGGGGGCCAATCAGCCATTCTTAGTCTGGACTGACCATAAGAACCTGGAGTATCTACAGACAGCTAAGAGGCTGAACCCCAGACAGGCTAGGTGGTCTCTGTCCCTTGATCGTTTCAACTTCTCCCTCTCTTTCCGCCCAGGTCACCGCAATGGCAAGGCCTTCTCTCGCCAGTACAACCGAGAGGAAGAGGTCGCTGAGCCGGCTTACATCCTGCCCCAGTCTGCCCGTGTGAGTGCTGCTCTCCTCAGCATCGAGCAGGAAGTCATCAATGCCCAGGTGTCGAAATCGGGTCCAACCAGCCATCTCTTCATCCCGGTTGCACTGCGCACCAAGGTGCTGCAAAGGTGTCAT